TTTTTTTGAGACGGAGTTTCACTCTGTCGCCCAGGCTGGGGTGTGGTGGCGCGATCTCAGCTCACTGAAACCTCTGTGTCCCGGGTTCAAGAGATTCTCCTGCCTCAGCCTACCGACTAGCCAGGCGTTCGCCACCACACCTGCTTAAGACAGCTGGGCGCGCCCCCCTAGGCCCCCACATCTCCACCAAGTTCAGGGCTCTTCCAACCTGCTTCTCCCCGGTTGCCCGTCTTGGGGGGCCCTGGTCTATCTGTCCATCCAGTCCCCCTCCTCCGCACACCTGGATTTCCCGCCAAAGGTAGGGTCTCCTACAGCAGCAGAGAAAGGAACAGGTGGCCGAGGGCCCCTGCCTTTCTCAGTACCTGGGACCCGTGTCCTTCTGTTTCCTTGTCTCTGACTCCGTCTCTCTTTCTGCATTTATTTCCTTATCTCTTTTTATTTTTAATTCTTATTTATTTATTTATTTTTTGAGTGGGAGTCTTGCCCTCTCGCCCAGGCTGGAGTGTCATTGTGCGATCTTGGCTCACTGTAACCTCTGCCTCCCGGGTTCAAGCAATTCTTCTGCCTCAGCCTCCTGCGTAGCTGGGATTACAGGCTCCCACCGCCACACTTGGTTAATTTTTGTGTTTTTAGTAGAGACGGGGTTTCACTGTATTGGCCAGGCTAGTCTCTTGGCCAGGCAGGTCTTAAACTCCTGGCCTCCTGCTCCGCCCACCTCAGCCTCCCAAAGTGTTGGGATTACAGGCATGAGCCACTGCCCCAGGCCTGTTTATTTAATATTTTTGAGACAGGGTCTCACTCTGTTGTCCAGGCTGGAGTGCAGTAGCGCAATCTCTGCTCACTGCAACCGCCCCCATGGAATCAAGCGAGCTTCCCACTTCAGCCTACTGAGTAGCTGGGATTACAGGCATGTGCCACGATGCCTGGCTAATTTTTGTATTTTTAATAGAAATGGGGTTTCACCATGTTGGCCAGGCTGGTTTTGAACTACTGACCTCAAGTGATCTGCCTGCCTCTGTCTCCCAAAGTGCTGGGATTCCAGGTGTGAGCCACTGCACTGGGCCCGTCTTTTTTTTGAGATAAAGTTTTGCTCTTGTTGCCCAGGCTGCAGTGTAATGGTGAGATCTCTGCTCACTGCAACCTCCGCCTCCCAGGCTCAAGCGATTCTTCTGCCTCAGTCTCCCAAGTAGCTGGGATTACAGGTATGCGCCACCACACCTGGCTAATTTTATGTTTTTAATAGAGACAGGGTTTCTCCACAGTAGTCAAGTTGGTCTCAAACTCATGACCTCAGATGATCCGCCCGCCCTGGCCTCCCAAAGTGCTGGGATTACGGGTGTGAGCCGCCACAGTGCCTGGCTCCCTGTCTCTTTTTGTTGCCCTGTCTCAGTCTTTCTGCATTTGTGTGTCTCCCTGTCTCTGTCTCCTCTTCTCTGTCCCCTGCTTGTCCTGTGTCTCTCAGTCTCTCCTTCCGTCTCTGCATCTCCTGGTCGCCTGCTCTCTGTCTCTGCCGCCCCTTTTGACACCCTGTCTCTGCCTCTCTCCCTTTCTTGCCCCTCCTCTGTCCCTCTGCCCATCTGGGTCCTCTGGGGGCTCCTTCCCAGCCCTCCAGCCCCACTCTGCCCTGTCCTCACCTTCGCCTTTGAGGAAGTCCCGCAGGAACTGGTTGGGCGTTCCCGGGTCCTTTAACTGTCCAGCGATCTTGGAGTAATGATAGAGGGAGACCATGACGTCCCGGGGGTTCCGGCCCATGTAGATCACCTGCGTGCAGATGATGGGGTGAGGGGAGAAGGCGTCAGACACAGGCAGGCCCCTGGCCCCTGAGGCTTCCTGCCCTTGCGCCCCCTCTCTTCTGACCCTGAAGCAGGAAGGACTCTGGGCAGACTCTTTTTTTTTTTGAGATGGAGTCTCACTCTGTCGCTCAGGTTGGAGTGCAATGATGGGGTCTTGACTCACTGCAAACTCCACCTCCCGGGTTCAAGCGATTCTGCTGCCTCAGCCTCCTGAACTCAAGTGATCTGCCCGCCTCGGACTCCCAAGTGCTGGGATTACAGACATGAGCCACCGTGCCCAGCCTGCTCTTATTTTTTAGAAACAAGGTCTTGTAGGCCAGGTGCTGTGGCTCACGCCTGTAATCCCAGCATTTTAGGAGGCCGGGGTGGGTGGATTACCTGGGGTCAGGAGTTTGAGACCAGCCTGGCCAACACGGTGAAACCTCATCTCTACTAAAAA